ACCAACTCCCATACAAAAAAAAATAAAACATATAGTGATGCTAACATACAAGCTAACCAACCACCTTATTGGTGTGCTGTTCCTCTGTACAAAGATAGGTTTACAGAGAGAAGAAAAGGATGCAGGAAAAAAGGAACAATACAGTAGGAATAGAATTAAGTCATTAAACTAACAGAATCAATGAAGCACACTTGAGACTTTTTGTTTAAGTCCAATGTCCTTTCAGTTCTGATTTCTAGCTTTCTTTTCAAGCAGGTAAATTAGTTTGCAGTTAGGGTCAGTTGCCCCTGGTCTGCTGTGAAGGACAGTTCAGATCACCCTCCGTTCACCGCTCTGGCCTATGTCCTTTTCAAGCTTGTTTCTCCCGTTTCGGTGTTGTTACCTTGAGTCGTCAGCAGGTGGTGCTATCTCAGCTCCTCGCCCCAGAGGGGGTGGGTGGGGACAGGAACTGGCAGAGACTGGAGATGGATGCCTGCCTGAGGGCACAGGCAGGAGACTCATGGCCGGCAGGACGTCTCGGTCGCAGGAGAGGTGGCAGTGATCCTAGCAGATCTTCCCTGAAGGGGCTTCAAGGACTGAAGTCGTGGATCACCTCCGGCCTGGGTGGTGCAATGTGCTACCGGCAGTGACTGCAGTGGCTGCAGCAGCTGTGGCGGTAGCATCTGCACTGCAGTGGCTGTCCAGTCCACTGCGATGCCCCAGCAGTGGCAACGGCCCAGCTCTGTATAAAGAGCAGGCTGTGATTTTGGGGTCCACAGCCCCCGGGGTGAGAGCCAGAGACCCACTGCAGTTCTCCTTTGCAGAGGGTTTCACAGACCAGGTTGCCCCGTTGCCATCTTGCCGGAAGTCCAAGTTGGAGTTTCAAGTGATTTATCTGTCAGTCAGTGCTCCAGGAATGCCGACACTCCCAAAATCGAGGTTGTATTTTGAAGAGTCTTGGGTTGTCTTCATTCTACAGTTCCAGCTCTTTGGAAGGCTGAGGTGGAAGGATCACCTGAGCCCAGCAGATCAAGGCTGTGGTGGCCAGGAACATATCATTGCACTCAAGCCTGGGCGACAGAGTGAGACTCCTAAGGCGCACGGCTGGGAGGTGGCAGCGGTGCTGGGACTGAAACTCCGGAGATGTTGGCAGGAGGGGGAGGAGAGCCTCACTATTATTTTTTAAAAGCTCTCAAAAATTATAGTCTCAAAATAGTTCATTCTTTTGCAATAGTTTGAGAAATGTTTTCCCAAAATCAGATTTAAATCTCTCCCAATGTGATCAGATACTCTTCCTGATTAGCTGTCCATAGTGAAAATAAAGAGTAATTGACATAAATTTGTGATAAAATTTGAATATTCTGTTAACTTTTGTGTTCTTCTGTCCCCTCTCCTCCAAAGAAGTACTGCCTGAGGAGAAGCAATATTCACATCCAGGGTTGTCAACAGACCATCAACAGTCAAAAACTAGTTTCAGATTCCTTGGAGGTAGTGAGGGTCTCAACAGGTAGCCAGACATGGCAATCTGGGACAGAAGTGCTTAATGTCTAGTGAGGCAGGATATTAGCATTCTATTGTAGAGAGGTCCCAGACACCAGAATGGAATTTAGGAGGCAGGCTCCAATGCCCACAAAGAAGAACCAGAAAGAGATTGGCAAAGTCTAACTCAAGTTACTGGGGACACAGCTATAAGAGTGACAAAAATGCTGGTCAACAGCAGAAGACCAGTTATTCAAAATGGGTCCACCAAATAGGGAGAGTGCAGCTACTAGTTTGGGGACTTGAATGCAGCAATCCCATTATCAGAATAACTATGCCACAGTGGTGGGATGTTGACAAACAGAGCACTGTCTTTGGGGCCTGCTAAAGTAAGCCAGAGCCTCTTGGAGCATAATTATTTTCACTGTCGTACAAGTAACACAGGTATTACCTTGGCAGAAGTCGCATCGTCCTGTTGGTGATAGTTGTGTTAGACAGATTGAGATACAAGACCCCTGGACAGCCCTCAGAAATGTGTCTCATTGATTCATCCTGCATTTAAAAAAGAGGAAAGAATCATATCAAATTCAAACAGGCTTTGCAATTTCCCCATTATCTCACTACCATCTCTCTTTTTGTCCCAGAAAAAAATATATGCAAAAGTTGGTCTTTTCATAGTCTTTATCTGATATTAGTTGAAATGAAATTAAATAGAAGCCAATGGTTTTGCTTGAAGCTTCATTATTCCTTCCTTTCCCCTTTCTTTGGAAATAGTCTCATTCCATCACAATGACATTTCATTAAAATGTAAACCCTTGGCTAGCACAGTGGCTCACATCTGTAATTCCAACACTTTGGAGGCAGAGGTGGGAGGATAACTTGAGCCCAGGTGTTCGAGACCAGCCTGGGCAACATAGCAAAATCTTATCTCTACAAAAAGTCAAAAAGTTAGCCGGGTATGGTGGTGTGTGCCTGTAGTCCCATCTACTCGGGATGCTGAGGTGGAAGGCTCAGCACACTAAGTCCAGGCAATTGATGATGCTGTGAGCTGTGATCCTCATGATCAAGCCATTATACTCCAGTCTGGTAGACAGAGTTAGATCCGACTCAAAGAAAAAAAAAGTTCAACTATATGACAGGAAATTTGAGCTCAAGTGTCAAACACTCTTGACTCTTCAGATGCAGAAAAGTGATTAAAAACTGATCCATTTTAAAAGTTACTAAAATAATTACAAAAGACAGGAATAGTAAACATGCTCCATAACTGGACTTCAGTAAATCTGAGTCCATATTTACACACACACACCTATATATACAGTGGCATGCACCCAGGACTACAGGTGCATGACATTGTGGCTGAATAATTTTTTAAATATGTAGATATGCCGCTCTCGCTATGTGTGCCCAAGCTGGTCTTGAACTCCTAGCCTCAAGTGATCCTCCCACCTTGGCCTCCCAAAGTGCTTGGATTACAGTCCTAAGCCACTACACCTGGCCTAGCAGCAGATCTTTTATTTATTTAATGGTGACTGATTAATATCCTCAGGAACACCCAACAGGTCAGCCAATTTCAAGAATTTGTGGTTCATGCAATGTTTAACTTTACATCAGTCCTAGAAAGAATAGGCTATTGCAGGTATCTGTCTGGAAGAGGTAAATCATCACCAGACTAGGAGACATGGTTTGGAGAAGAATTCTTCATGGTCAATGTGGCCACCCCAACACCATTAAGGATAGCAAAGATTTGTTTTTAGTAGGATTATTGATGTTTAACATTCCATTCCTTGCTATTTCCGGGAGATAAGGATTTTTAAAATACTGCAGGTCAGAACATCTGTCCCACTCAGACAGGAACTGGTTGATTTACACTGCTGGCAAACTATACCATAAAGAGAATACAAGTTTCTATTTTAAGCTGTAAATCTCTGTAACACTGCTATAGGATAGCCTCTATGTGCCAATACTGCATGAGTACTCGTGCAGAGCTTTTGATAAATTACTACTGCATTCAAGCTGCCAGCTATTTGTGTATCACCAAAATGTAGGATTTGAATATGTGTGGATAGATAAAAAGTATACAGCACAATTTTTTTAAAAAAAAAATAGAGAACAACTGAAAATCTGTCTCTGAAATGTTCAGCATGCCAGTCAAGTATCAAAGTGACTCTGCACTTGCTGAAAGACCTAGGCAAATGCTAATGAGACGAGAGAGTTGGCTAAAACTGCCTTAGAGAGGCAGCCACAAAGAACTTGAAAATGTGGGGGCCAGGAAGAGGAAGGTGGGGTATGATTTATGAACCATAAAGAACCCTGACTTTCCCTTTGAGATGAGGAGGTAATCCATTCTCTGCATTTTCCTATCTGGAGGAGCTTGGGTATCCAATCAAATTCAGACCACTCCCATTCTCAGGATTTTAAAAAACTCAGGATTTAATCCACAGATGTTTGAACACATAAATACTAAAACTGTTAGAGTGCCAGCATTGCAGAATGGCTTATGAATTTGTCCACAATGTACTGAAATCCTTCTGAATATAATATATTTCATAAGACTGACTAAGAAATCAAAGCACTTTGAATGAATGTTACCCAACTTCTTAAATGTAAGTCTGTGTCCCACTCTATGTCTCAAAGGAAAAAAACAATAGTAAAATGTAGCTGGATAAAATTATCAGCCCTTTATATTATTAGACTCCCAAATTGGAAAAGACTTTGATGTTCACAAATTCAATGCAGATGGCATTGTTTTGACTTTCCTGTTAGAAGGCCAAATTCAAAGAATATGATCTTTACTCAAGTACAGAACTGAAGTTCCCTGAGGGTAAGAACTAAAAATTGATTCATTTTTAACTTCTTCCTAACACCTGGTAGAATATCTTTACCATAGTACAAGGGGACCCAAAAAACCCAGAATTTATTTATTAAAAATTGTGTATTTATTCTTACATGTTTAAATTTCAGTCACCTTCAAAGGATTCTCTGTTTGATGCAATACACATATCGAAATGCTTTTTCCACTGCTCAAAACAGTTTTTGAATCCATCAGTTAAAATGCCTTTTAGTGCTTCTGCTGTTTTTTGTTTCACCCCTTCCACATCAGCAAAATGTTTCCCTTTGAGAACTTTTTTCATCCATCAAAACAATAAAAAGTCGCTTGGAGCGAGAGCAGGTGACTAGAAAGGGTGGGGAGCAAAGGTCATGTCGTTTTTGGTCCAAAACTGTTGAACATTCAGCAGAGGATGGGTTGGTTGTTCATGTAAATCACTCATGAAATGGGCAAATGTATTGAAAGAATCTCAAAAAAAAAAAAAAAAATCACTGAAACCGAAAACAGCCTCTCATAACAATGTTAGCTGGTATACTGATGCTGATAGATTCCTAGAACACTCACCTAGCGGGGGAAGCCCGTACTCCAAGAGGCTGCCAGCCAAAAGATAATTCCTTTTTGGGGGGAGATTCCTCCTCATAGGTGCTAAAAATTTCCACAGAAGAATGAACCCATTTGACAAATGACAATTATATCCACAGGCAGACATCCAGGAAATGTGGCAGTCAAGATTTCAAAGCTTTCTTTATGAAGGAGCCCATGTTCACATTGTTGGGGGAGAAAGTTAGAGTACAACCAGAGAAAATGGAACACTTTTCCTCTGATGTGGTCTTCAACATGTCTGTCTATGCCTCCATTTTTTGTGGATCATCCTTGAGGGCACTTTTTAACATAAAGAAGCAGCTTATTTATGTTAAAGTGGAAGCCGCCAAGAAGATGCTTAGTTTACAGTCTACAGCAGTTCTCTGTGTTCTTGTCAGACAGGGATCAAACAACTACTTTTAATGCTGAATTTGTTGAGGTAAGGAGTGAAAATTCTGAGAGTTTTAATATTTTTATGTACACATTCTATCCATCTATATGATGTCATTCATCTTTTGGAAAGATGTTTTCCTACAGAAATGGGAGGATGAATTTTATGGAAAAAAATACTAAAGGAAGATTTTTCAGAGGGCTCTTAGTTCTAAAATGAGAGATATTTATGTAAATATAATTATAATAAAAAGTGGAAAGCATAAATGCTGAAGTACTGAGATCACAGATGAAGCTGAGGAGAGGGAGAAATTAACTCTGTCAAAAAATGATTGGAATTGCATAGGGCTGGAGGGTTGAGAGAAAATGAGGGGTGACTATTAATGAGTATGAGTTCTTTTGGGGAAAGGAAAATGTTCTAAATTTGTTGTGGCGATGGTTACACAACTCTAAATATACCAAAAAAGCCATTAAATTGTACACATTTAATAGATAAATTTAATCTCAATATAAACATAAACTTATTTATACATCAATAAAGCTGCTTTTTTTTTTTTTTTTTTTTGAGTTGGAGTCTCACTCTGTCACCCAGACTGGAGAGCAGTGGCCGCTCCCGGCCACAGCAGCCTCAACCTGCTGGGCTCCGGCAATCCTTCCACCTCAGCCTTCCGAGTAGCCGGAATTACAGGCATGCGCTACCACGCCCGGCTGATTTTTTGATTTATTGTAGAGATGAGGTCTCCCTGCCCAGGCGGGTCTCAAACCCACGGGCTCAGGCAATCCACTCACCTCAGCCTCCCAAAGGCGTGGGATTACAGGCTGAGCCACCGAGCCCGGCAAAGCTGCTTTTTAAAAGGTCAGTTGAAAAAACATGAATAAAAGACCCAATGGAGTTGAAGAGTATTTTAAAGAATGAGCATGTGTAATCCAGGTTGGAAAGGGGAAGGTGGGAAGGAAAGTGTAGTCATTTAGGCAACAGAAAAATGGGACAGATATAGCATGATATGTTCAGGGAATTTCAAGTGGTTCAATATTGAAATAGAGTAGAAATTTGAAAGAAAAAACGCATAAAGATGAAGCTATGTAAAGATAAGCTGGAATTGTACCCCCACATCCTTAAAATAAAATAAAGATAAGGCTGGGAGGTATCAGGGAGAGGCCAGTACATGAAGTCTTTTCATCTGTGCCAACGGGTTGGGCTTCATCCTGGAGTTGGTACTTAATGAGGTGCATTATACAACAAGGTTCTTCATTCTGTTCCCCCCCTATCTCCTCAAAGCCTTGCTCCATTAATTGCTCCAGATGAGTCTTCATCTTCTATAAACCTGTTTTCATTTCCCTGCCCGTTTTCCTTCCAGTCACTTTTCTGGAAAGATTGACTTGTGTCTAATGTCTCACTTTTTCACCCGTCCACTTCACAGTTCACTACAGTTTAGTTTCTGCCCCAATATCCCACTCAAACTGTTCTGACTCTCAAACTAGGATACACTATTCAGTCCTTTTCTTACCTGCTCACTTTGGCCACTGTATTCTGAAACTCCTTACTTGCATTTTGTGATATTTCTCCATTTTCAACTACTTCTATTCCTGCCTAATATCCTCTGCCTGGTCCTAAAAGTCAGCATCCCCATGGCTGAACCTTAAGTCCTCTTCTCTCATATCTTCTATCTAGGTTGATCTTATTCACTCTTATGACATTAATTATGGTTTATACATAGGTGTCAACCCAAGATGGAATCTCAAGTTCTAGCCAACATTGTTCACTGCCTTCTAAGCATCTCCATATAGTTGCATTTGCTAAACAACATTGAATATTTACTGTATATATTTACTATATACCAACTTTTGTGCTGTGTGCTATGACTACTGCAAAGAATAAAACACATTTCCTGCCCTTTGAATCTCTGAGGCTAGTGGAGGTGGCAAAAACACTGTGGTTAGGACAAGAACCCAGAGGAGCAGCAGTGAACTCAGCCCTGAGAGCCAGTGATGACTAAGTAGAGGAGGTGATGTGTCAAAGAAGTCTTAAAGCTTGACAAAGAGGAAAGTAACACTGGAGGACAAAGGGAAAGGGCATTCCAAGCAAAGAACGAGAGCAAATGCAAGACTGCAAGTAGCAACTTGGAGCGTGCTGCAAAGGAAGTGCAGCAGCTGTGATTACTGCAGTTTAGTGTGTACACAGGAACTGGGGCAAGATGAGGTTGGAAAAGGAGGCAGAAGCAAAACCACAGAGGGTCTCCAAGGTACAGTAATATTAAAGAGCTTTGATGGCTGGACAAGGTGGCTCACGCCTATAATCTCAGCACTTTAGGAGGCTGAGGTGAGAGAATTGCCTGAGTCCCTGGGTTTGAGACCAACCTGGGCAACTTGATGAGACCTCATCTCTACAATAAATCAAGAAATGAGCTAGGCATGGTGGTGTGTGCCTGTAGTTCCAGCTACTTGGAAGGCTGAGGTGAAAGGATCGCCTGAGCCCAGCAGGTCGAGGTTGTGGTGGCCGTGAGCATGCCACTGCACTCCAGTCTAGGTGACAGAGTGAGACTCCAACTCAAAAAAAAAAAAAGAGCTTTGACTTTATCCAATAGTGTAGATGACAGGATTGTGTGTAGTTGATGGAAGATGGAAGTAAAGTGGTCAGATCTGCCTTTTAGAAAGAGTATTATGTGCTCACAAAGTGGAAGAAAGATTGGGGACAGAGAAAATGTCTGGAGACAGGGATCAGAAAGGAAGCAGCTAGGAATATATTTCTGTCTTCTTTGGCACAGTTATTGATAGCCATGAAGACCACTAAAGTGAGCCAATCATCTCTTCCAATTTTTCTGTCTCATATAAATAGCATTAAATATAAATAACATTCATTTTTGTGTAATCGTTGAAGAATTTCTGCTTGCCAGAGGCTCCAACATTGGGCTTGCATCTACACGATTAATAATATTATACAGATGGAGTTAAATTTCTTGCCAATGTTTAACATATTTGCTTTTTTCCACATTGAATTATAAATGAGCACACAGGCATGTATTCTGCATATTGGCACTCCAATGTAGCAAGTCTGAATCTACATAAACAACAGTAAAAATAAGCTGCTTATACTCACTGTGAGTGTTGGGCAGTCAGAGACATTCAACTCTTGCAAGTTTCTACAGTGACCTAAATCAAACCAGTTACACATCACTAAACAACATATTACAAATATTTAAACTTAAAGTTTTTCTATCCTACAGTCAATGAAATGCATTCATTGGAAAACAAACAAAAACCTTGGCAAGTAATGTGCTCTAAGTATATAGTTTCTTTTCCCAGAAAAATGATTTTTTTTGGCTTCAGAATTTAAAAATATATATACATGTTTATTATTGTTTGAAGATTATAGGAGGAAAGAAAAAGGAGAAAATCCCTACTTTGGGAAAATATTGTATAATTAGAGCTTTTAGCTTGGAAACACTTGAAGAAAACCAGCCTGATTTTTTGATGCATGCATTTTTGTTCATTTTTAAACATTTTATTATGAAATGTTTGAAACATACATGAAAGAATTGTACAGTGAATACTTATATACACACCACCTAGATTCTAATGTATATTTTACATTTGCTTCAACACATATCCACCCATTCATCCATCTCTCTATCCATCCCCTCAATCCATCATATTTTTTATGCATTTCAAAGTCAGTTGCAGACACCAGCACACTTTTCCCTAATACTTCAGTATGCACATTATAAATAACTCAGCATGCATAATCATAAGCAAAATATTTGTTGTGATTTTTTTAGGTTAGATTTGCATACAACTTCTAATGCGTTGTAAATAGAGAAGTGGAGGGTTGGAGAGGTTAAGTGCCTGATTAGCTCTGGGACCAGAGGTTACTGCACAGCTTATGCTCTCTCAGGGAAGATCAGACGTGTATACAAATAGCTAGATAGCAAAGCATTACACACAATACCTTAAGTCTGGATAGACAGTAAGTAAAACTCCAAATCTGAGACAGAAGAGAAGCAGCTGGGGAGGACATATGAACCAGTAAATGGGAGGAATGCTTGAAGCAAATAAGAGGCAAGGCATTCTAGGTGGAACAGACCCCATAAAGCAGGGGGTGATCCTGGCATTCAAACTGCCACAATGAAAACACATCTGCTGCTCATAACCACATAGCCCCATGCTAATAACAGCAGACATGTTAGTAGTTATAAATCCATTTTGAGCATTTCTTCCTTTGCCAAGAGTGGACTGTGTCCTTAGCGATATATACAAACTAGAAATACTTTTAGCATTTTTTAAAAAGGAAAACAATTCTTAAACATGTGTAGATCTTGGAAGTCATCAATAATACTTAAGGAAAAAATGGATTCCCAAAACAATATAAGTTTATGAGATGTTTGTACAGAATAGAATACTGAGAGTAATTCATCCGTTCAAAAAATATTTATCAAGGAAATATAACAATGAACAAAATATACAAAAATCCTTTCCCTTATGGAGTTTACTTTCTAGTTGGCAGGAGACTAACAACAGTACATAAAAGAAGTAAAATATCATATCTACATTGACAGATAATAAGTGCTATGGAGAAAAAATAAAACAAGAAAGGGGATTGGGAGCATCCAGTGAGTGGGGCATATTTCATATGGGGTGGAGTTTCAGATGGGGCCAATAGTTTGCTAAGAAGGAGACATTTGAGCCTAGATGGGCAGGAGATGACAAGGACAGTGCCATTTGCTCTGAGCATCTCTGGAGCCCACACTCAATATGGTGACTGGGAGACAGTAAAGGATAGAAAACAATAAGCTCAAAGGACAGTCATTCAGTCCTACTATTGCTTGCACATCTCGAGGCTGTGTGGATAAGCCCTTTAATTTCTGAAATCCAATGTGAAGATGAACCACAGGTCCCAGTTTTCAGCACGTGGAATCCTAACATTCATGGAGAATGTCCCCTGGGCTTGGCACTGTGAAGTGTCTTATGTGCATGACCCTATTTCATCCTCCCAACAATATTAAGAGGTGTCCTCAGTTCCATTTTACAGTCCCATTTTGCAAAAGATGAGGTTCAATAACTAGCCTGGGTTCATATAGTTGAGCAGGTAGGAGAGCCTTGATTCCAACACAGGGCACAAACATTTGTCCTCCAAAGCAGGCAAGCAAGGGAGTAAGGAACTTTCTATGCCGCTGTTCTGTGATTGCCTTTATTAACTAGCAGGTTATTGCCTTTAAAAAGCCTGCTATTACCTGTAAATAGCACAATGGTTTCTAACTTTTAATACATATATCTTTTCTCTTCCAACCTAGGAACTCCACATACCCTGGCTGGTCTCATTGTTCCTGAACTGCATTAGTTAGGATTACCCAAAGTTGGATTTCAAAGGAATACTTTCATTGTTCCATCTGTCACACAGAGTAATTGGAGCCAGCTGTATGTCAGGATGCGCGTGGTTACCATTGTAATCTTGCTCTGCTTTTGCAAAGCTGCTGAGCTGCGCAAAGCAAGCCCAGGTGGTGCGAGAAGTCGAAGTCGAGCGAATCATGGCCGGGCGGGTGGCAGCCGGAGAGGCTCCAACCCGGTCAAGCGCTATGCACCAGGCCTCCCCTGTGACGTGTACATGTATCTCCATGAGAAATACTTAGATTGTCAAGAAAGAAAATTAGTTTATGTACTGCCTGGCTGGCCTCAGGATTTGCTGCACATGCTATTAGCAAGAAACAAAATCCGCATATTGAAGAACAACATGTTTTCCAAGTTCAAAAAGCTGAAAAGCCTGGATCTGCAACAGAATGAGATCTCCAAAATTGAAAGCGAGGCATTCTTTGGGTTAAACAAACTTACCACCCTCTTACTGCAGCACAACCAGATCAAGGTCTTGACGGAGGAGGTGTTCATTTACACACCTCTCCTGAGCTACCTGCGTCTTTACGACAACCCCTGGCACTGTACTTGTGAGATGGAAACACTTATTTCAATGTTGCAGATTCCAAGGAATCGAAATTTGGGAAACTACGCCAAGTGTGAAAGCCCACAAGAACTAAAAAATAAAAAACTGCGGCAGATAAAATCTGAACAGTTGTGTAATGAAGAAGAAAAGGAACGATTGGACCCAAGACCTCAAGTGTCAGGAAGACCCCCAGTCATCAAGCCTGAGGTGGACTCAACTCTTTGCCACAATTATGTGTTTCCCATACAAACACTGGACTGCAAAAGGAAAGGTTTGTATTTTTCTTACTTTTTCATTTCCATGGATGATTAAAAATGCTCTTTAATCTTATAATCCTCCCTACACCCTACCATACCTTGAAATTTCTGGTATCACTTCCACCAGAAATCTTTCCCCAATGACAATGGAATTTACTGCAAATTTTTCTGGAGTCCAGACTCAAGGTTGTTAGTGATCAGAAGACAGTACAGGAAGAAAGGAAGTATCCTCAGGTGGGCAGCCATTCGGGTTCTACGCATTTGCTCATCATAAGCTGTGGCTGTAAGGAATTCATCACAATTCCAATTTAATGTAGGTAAATCAATGAGTATGAAAAAAAGGGCAAATGCTGTTTTTATAACCTGACAACACCAATTAAAGTTAAAACAAGATGTGCATCTGTGGGGAGATGATTACCTCAAGGAAAAAACACCTGCAGAACAGGAACAGCAAGAGCACATCTGCTGTGATGGGGCCTCTACATGTCCTATCATTTAGTCCCAAGGTTTTAAGAAACACTTGTTCACATCCTGTTTCTTGATTATTTCCAAATTATCCAGAATAAAACAATAAATAGTTTCAATAACTAAATTTAAAATATTTAATCCAAGAACCAAAGAAATCTTTCTAGAATATAATCTATGTCTTGCAACTCATTACTGAGTTGTACATCCCACACAATCTTGGGCTAGTACTGTGCAGGATTTTCACATGCAAGGTAATAAAGTGAACTAAGAAAACAGATGGAAGTTTTAGTGATACTCTGTATGCGTCAGTGGAGATTGACGTTCTCAAAGTGTGGTCTGGGATCTGCTAATCAACCCTACAATAGCAAAACATATGATAACATCTATAGGTTCCATTTCTGGTGCGATTTAATAAATTATCTGTAATATTAAGTTAAAGCCAGATGTCACTAGATTAGAGTCATATAGAGTAGCAGTCCTCAACTTTTTTGACATCAGGGACCAGTTTCATGGAAGACAATTTTTCCATGGGCTAGGGAAGGGGGCGATGGCTTCAGGACGATTCAAGTGCATAACATTTATTTTGTGCTTTATTTCTCTTGTTGTTACATTGTAATATATAATGAAATAATTATACAACTCACCACAAAAAAAAGAGGTGTGGACAGAAGTGATAGATAAAATAATGGGTGGGTCATGCATGGACTAAAATAAGTGTTGATTCTGACTTCAATCTTGCCACCAGATGCAGCTGTACAATTGAAGTACATCAACTCACTTGCCACTGGCCAATAGGGTTTTGATATGAATCTGCAAGCAATTGACTTATTATGGTCTCTGTGCAGCCAAACTTCACTTGTAATGTTAATCTGTATTTACAGCCACTACCCAGAGCTAGCATCACTGCCTCAGCTCCATCTCAGATCATCAGGCATTAGATTCTCATAAGGAGTGTGCAATCTAGATCCCTTACATGCACAGTTCACGATAGGGTGTGAGCTCCTGTGAGAATCTAATGCCGCTGCTGATTTGACAGAAGACAGAGCTCAGGTAGTAATATGAATGATAGGGAACGACTGTAAATAAAAATGAAACTTTGCTCACCTGCCTGCGGCTCACCTCCTGCTGTGCAGCCCAGTTCCTAACAGGCCACAGACCAGTACCAATCCACAGCCTGGGAGTTGGGGACCCCTGATATTGAGCATAGTATCATTGCTTCCACATATTTGGGGAGGTTTTGCTTTGTTTTATTTCTTTGAGGGCAAGAGAAAGGGAAAGTTCAGAGAGAAACCCTGGCTACTCTCAGGAGAATGTTAGGCAAGAATTAACGTCAAAGACTCAGGCAACCTAAGCCAGGATTAAATTTATTCATTTCTCAGCAATGTCATGCTCAACTTCCCCTCAAACTCTAAAGGTGGCACCTGGTTAGATCACACCACAGCCTTGTGGCAAAGAGAGGTTTGCTTATTAAGATATCCTATGAACTGTATATAATT